TCTGAGAAGGCTTTGCTATGTATCACTCCCAGGTGTTCAAACACCATGAATCAGATCCCTTAATATTCTTGTGTTTGGCTTAAAATAAAAAGAAAATAAAACCAGCTCCTTTCCATTTGTGTTCTGCTCTTCCAGCCTCTGAGGTGCCTCGGGGTAGCTTCTCCAGGCAGTTCTCTGCAGCCCAAAGCTGCCAGAAAGGCGAAAGGGGCAGAGCAGGGGGGATGGAGCCGGGGGACGTCGCCTGCTCGCCCTCCTCCCCAGCTCGGCGATTCCCCCCATCTCACTGACGCTAAATGCAACTTCACCAGGCCTGAGCTTGTTCTGTCCTTAAGGCATCTGCGGTATTTCGGACACATGCCTGTTCCTCCCACCCTGCAGTTGCCGTGACCCATCTAAGGGGCTGGGGAGGGGGCTGCAGCCCCGGCCGGCAGTAGCTCCCACGGCTGTTGCTTGGCCCCAGGTGGGCGAGCGCTTCCCCTCGGCTCCAGCACATCTGCTCAGCCTTGGCTGCGAGCAACGGGCTTCACGCGAGCGATCCAGCGGCCCGGGGGGACCCAAAGTAAAACCGAACCATGGGAATGTCCTTCTGCATCCCCACCAGCTGCAAGCGGGGAAGCAGGGGCTGGGGAAGACCTTTTTAAATTGAGTCCGCTGATCCCTCTTAAATCTGGAGGAAAGCTCCACCAGCATCTAAAACCTGCCTCCTTTCACCTGCGAGGATTGTTCACTACAGGAAAAACGGGTTTAAATAAGCAAAAAGAAAAATAAAAGGGCACTCGAAAGGGAAATAGTTCTGCAAATTGAGACCCAAGGAATCCCGGAGGTATTTGATGCTTGAACGGCTGAATGAGATGCCATTCTGCAAGGCGAAGCATTCGGACTCATTTATTTATTTAAATTGGCATCGAGACGCTGTTCAAATTTGCTGCCTGCAGCTATCCATCAGGTAGGATCCAGTGGGCTGACAAGGGCACTGCAGGCACGGGGGCATGCAGAGCCCTCCTCACTCAGCGCCTTCCACGGGAGGGTTTTCTTCCCCCTGACAGGCACAGCAGGGGACCACATACCCCCCAGCACCCCAGAAATGCATCACCCTCGACTCCAGCCGTGATTTCCCAAGCCAGATGCCATTGCATGGGCAGTGCTGGGGTGACCCGTGGGGTTGGGACCATCCTTCACTCCCCTGGGCTGTGATATTTCTGATATCACACCGGATAGTGCTAAAACAGCCCAGCAGCAAGGAGAGCAATAATTCGCTGAGTGGTTTGGCCGTCAGCCGACGGTGCGTAAGCACACCAAGGAAACCCAGCTCTGGGGCGCCCGTGAGATGGGGCAGCCCGTGGCAAGTTGCCCCAAATGAATTTGGGAGGAGAAATTAGCAAAAAGCAGGAGTGGCTTGTCAAACCAGTCCCTCCTAAAGATCTTACAGCACCTGTAACACCTGTACGTGCCTGGACAAGTTGTCAGCAGACTCTGGGATGGGATGTAGACCCCATGCAGCGATGCAGAGCTGGGGCTGGTGGCCCGAACACGCTGCTGTCTCCCTACAGGGGTGGCACGCAACTTGGATAACTGCTTTTTCTCCCCTATGGCAAGCAGGGATGGAGCACTTTTGGCCCTGGCACGGGACAACAGCCGAGGGAAGGAGTCAATAGCTCTCCTGAGCATCCTCATCTCCCAGGCGCGAGACCCCTCACCGGGCAGGAGGGCTCCCAACATCAACCTGCAGATGGAAAAGGTGCTGGTTTGGAGGGGTGGGTCCTCCAAATACAGGACCCCCCTCTCGGAGGTACCCACCAGCCCATCTCCTGCTCCATGACCCAAACACAACCGCTGCAGGTGGGGGGGACAAACGGCTGTCGGGGCAGGAAGCAGCAGGACATGGGAATTAATTGCATGAAGTTTGACAGGTCCACATAGGACCAGACCACCTCATTTTTGGCCACCAGCCTCTTCCTGGCCTCTTGTGGCTCAGGATGTATAAAGCCCGTGGGTTACTGCAGCCTGTCAGGACTGACCCACAAAAAATCAGGCAGCTAGGAAAGCAAGGAGAATTTTGTTTCCTGTCCCCAGCAGGCTCTGAGCTCCGCTGCATTCAGAGGTGATGTTTGTTGGTTCAAGGTGGATATAAAGGTGAGCTAAACCCAATCCAGGCTTTGTTTAACCATATTACGCTCCCCTCTCTAGGGCTCTGCTGATATTGTACGTTGTTTTCCAGACTAGCGCCAGACATTTTCTGTGGACACATTCCCAATGGCTTTCCAGACGAAGAGCTGTGATAAAAATCTAACCTGTTATGTCGTAGGGCACTTCCTCTTCACCCTCACATAATCCAGGAATGGGTTTTATCTGGGATATTTACAGCTGCAGAGGAACGGCACCTGGGTAGGACGTCTCACCAAACAAAAAAGGAAAACCCCACAATTAAAATGCAGCTAAAGAAAACACGTGAAACCCGAGATATGGAACAAATCCCAGCTTGAATCATCTGGTTCCAAGACCTGTGTGGAGCCCATTGAGCTTGAGCTAATATCTATTCACAACATGCAAGAAGCAAAGACAAATAGGAATGGCCCGGAGCTAAAGTTACAGGGCGCTGCATCCAGAGACGATACCAGCCCCCTCTTCTGCTCTGACACCCGCTCAGGGCACCGGCCCCGCTCCGCACGTACGTGCCTCTGTGGTGCTGTCACCGCGCTCTCCTCGAACCTCAAAGCCCTTCTCCAGGGAAGGCAGCAATACCACCGACAGGAGCAGGGCAGCCCTCTGCAAACTCAGGAGCTTTTCGGCAGCTAGACCTCAGGCTTGGAAAGCGCCTTGGTGTACTCCTGGCCCTGCGGCAGCCCAGCGGTGCCGGTGCGTGTCACACACAGAGGGCTGGTGGTTGGATGGAGTACTTTCTGCTGTCCCGATCCCCCAGCTCATCCCCACCAGGGAGCCGGCCAGGGACCCAGCAGCCCTTGGCCAGTTCCCTCCCACGGGAACTAACTGGAGGGGTAACGTGCAGCACCCTCTTAGGTGTTGCTCCCAAGGTGCCCCCAAGCATGCCATTTAATTCTGGCATCGCATCCAAGGGGGCAAGATGGAACGAGCCCTGTGGAGCACGCACACCTACCGAAGCCTCCTTTGCAATCCTAACTGATCCACAGAACTTGATCCATTCGGATCTGTAGCCCCAAAAAAAGCCATCGGTTCCTCCCTCTCCCATGGCGAGGACAGCACAGCTCACGGCTGCCCACCCCATGCGAAGCCCTGCCAGCACCGGCACAGGCACCGCGAGCTGAAATGGTCACGGTTAACCCGAGTCACCTGAGCAAAATAGGTTATGGAAAGGCCAAGCCAGTAATTTTGAAAGTGCCCCGGAGAAGGCTGAGTCTGCTAGTGAGGAGGCAGGTGGTGACAGCTAGTTGGGTTCGGTTACCTTTTAACGCCGCTCAGCTGCGGGCAGCTCAGATGCGATCAGACCTTTAGGTGTCATTTCCTTTCCACGTCTCGTTTTGCTTTCAGGGTGTTTTCCTAATTTTGCATTTCTGGGCTATTGGGAATCTGTCCCAGCTTGGAAGATGAGTAAATCTCCGTCGAGGGCTCTGTGCCCGCTCACAGCTCCCCGGTGAGCCCCCACACAGGCACGGACCGTGGGTCTTCGCAAGAGCATGCTGGGCCGGGCAGAGCGAGCAGCTCGCTGCGGCGTAACCACGTTAGCCCTGCAATAAGCTGTCACCCCGAGCAGGGTTTAACAGTTCAGTTAGATTAATGAGCCTGGGAGATGCGATCCGGTTCATGCCCCAGCCGTGCGGTTCAGTCACTGCAGCCAGGGTGAGCATCACGGTTAAGCCGATGCAGCCAAATTTTGCCAAATAAGAGGCTGCGGGGTCAGGGCAGTCGTGCCCGAGGGTGATCCCGCTGGCCTTCCCGCCTGTGCCCGTCCCCCTCTCCCAAAACGGTCTCAATGGTTCTCTCTGGGATGCTTTGATAAGCATCTATCTCACAGGTACTTCAGAAAACAGCAATAAAACAAGATGAGGGCTGAGAGGACAGGCTCACGAGGGGAGACCAAATGGCACACGTGTTGTAGTTGCCGGTTGCCACATGTAGACGACAACCCCCTCCTCAGGGTCCCCCTCGAAGGGACAGGCAGCTGTTGTCCTCTGGGATGTCCCTCTGCTCCACGTCCCCATCTTCTCCCGGGGTGGAGGAGCCATGGGTGAGCCGGTATGACCCAGGTGCAAGCAGGGATGAGGCAAGCAGCTCTGCAGCCCCGTGTGGGACAGGCTGAGGTCTCCCTTCTTGTCCTGACGGCTGCCCCAGCCCAGCCGTGGGGCACGGGGCTGCCCCTGGCTGCTCACTACTTGCAAGGGATGTTTTTCAGGTGCTGTAAACACTTGCCGCTACCTGCTTCCACCTCCCCTCTGCCAGCAGTGAGGGAGCCGTACCTTCGAGACAGCCCTGTCCAACATTGATAACTCCTCTCTGCAATGTTATCAAAGGCCTTATCAACGCATGCACCTGGCACCGGTTGCAATGAAATTGGTTTCAAGCCTGTTTTCTTTACAATTCCCTGGCTGGATGTGCTTGTATCAGTCACAGGGGCCGGGGAAATCGATCCAGCCCCAGTCAAAGCGTGTTCACTCAGCAGCATTTTAACTCATTTGGCTGCAAATCCCACCGTGCCTTTGCCTGTGTCGGAGGTTGGATGAGGGAAGGCAGGGGCGGCAGCGCCCGCTGTGCTCCCCGGGGAGGTTGGCTGCCATGAAAACCAGCCTCTCCTTGCACGGGGCTGTGCTCACGGGGGGCTACAGTGCTCCTGGCCCTGCCCTTTCCCCCCCCCCCCCAAATCCACTCGCCATGTCTCTGTGTGGCTGGGTGATTTAAAGTCCAGCCTGCGGCTTTTCGATAGATATAATCCCGACGAGGCAAGGAAAGATGCCAGAAAAGATGACGAATCGAGGGAGCCTTAGATCAGCAGCAAGGGCTAAGAGGGGAGGGCAAGGGAAAGCAGAAGGGATAGCTGGGCTGGCACCTCACCTGAGACCGCCGAGGCAAGGAGGTGGTTTCAGGGAGGCTGTGGTGGGAACCACGCCATGGGGAATATTTCAAAGCAAACTCTGGAAAACACCACCCCAGGAGCAATTCTGCAAGTAGATGGGGATGGCTGTGGTTTAATGCAGCTCGCCCACCTTTGACTCGTGGGAAGAAAAGTCACAATTCAGAGGCGTTGGGGCCATCCCCACACAACAGGCAGCCAGAGAAAATCCGCCGGCTGAGGTGAGCCCACCTGGTCTTGGCCAACAGCCCCAACTCCTGCAGAAAACACCCGGGATCCCTTCCTGGGTGCCCCAAGGCAAATCCCTCCCACTCTCCGTGCTGCTGGCAAGCACTTTAAGCCTCTACAGCATGCACCAAAGAGTTAAGCGCTGCTTCGCCACAGCGAGCGTCCTGCGGTTGCTCACAGCACTTCATGCCATCCACCCCTTCGCCACTTTCTCACCCGCTCGCTGCCCCAGCCACTCTCCGCACGCCTCTGACTGCAGGCTAAGAGCACGCCACTCGCCAAACGCCTTTGTGGCTAAACGGCCGAGCTGCAGGTACGCACGGGAGTTTCACTACGACTCGGGCTTCTCGTAACGGCGAGGATGTGGGCTCTGGGATTTGGCCACGTCCAGTCCAACAGCACCTTCCTGCATTTCACCAGGTTTCCTCCTTCAGCCCCAGAAGTTACCGACTGCATTAAACACTGAGATCAGCCCCCGGCCCCGGGTCAGAGCCCCGGAGCTCAGACCCACATGGCACTGGGGCTTTTCCTCCTCTGTGGGTGCTGGATGTGGCCAGCATCAGCAGCACCAGGGGTCACTCCAGAAGCTGATGGAGGTGAAGATTCATCTGGAGTGAAGGGAAACAACAAAATGAAACCCCTCCAGACTGCGGCCACCAGACAAAAACACACCAGCATGCCATTTTCCTTCCCTCCCATGCTGGTAAAGTGACTTTAAGCCACATCACGGTAAGCGAAAGCACATGGCTGCTGCTGCTGCACTGGATGGGCCTTTGAAAGAAGGTGTTTCTCAACATATCCTTGTTTTGGCTGTGATTATTGCCTGGGACACCACTGGGAGGGAACGACGTGCCTGGAGACACCGCGTCCAGTGTGTAATGTGACATGGTGATGCTGAAACTCGGGGCTGGAAGAAGCCCTGGGGTGAGGATTGAGGCCAGCAAGGCTGGGGAGAGCACATGCTGCTCTTGTCTTCCCCCTCAGCATCCCCGTAGGACCAGGGCTTGCTTCTCTGATGTGTAGGCACAGCTCCATTTTAGGGGATTTGGAAACTATACCTAAGTGGCAAAGGAGAACCCCATCTCTGCTGCATCGTGCTTTCCCCACGGTACTCCTCAGCCTTCCCTCGGGACCTCCCAGCGGGCCAGGACTGCAGCAAGGTGAGATGCAAGGGGCACACGCGATGGGGAAGCAGCAGGCTCAGAGAAGCGGTGAGGTGGGTCGGTTTGACCTGAGCCTGGTTAAGTGGGGAGAAATACGGTGTAGTAGGTGTCTGCAACACCGCAAATCGGGGTCCAGGGAGGGGTGCCGGGTGATAGCTGAGGGGTACTGCATGCGTGTGAGGAGGAGAGGGAAGCATGGGTCACTTTTCTCCAGGCTTTTTTTCCCCTCGTGTTGTGATAATTATGTTTGCAAGAGCAAATTAACACTCTCAAGTGTGAAGAGCAAAACTCAGCCCTGGGAAGGAAGGAGCAAACTGCCTCCCTCCAGGAGGACACCTGCTTCTCCTTGGCCGCAGCAACAGCTCTGTGCACCCCCAAAGGTGCTGCACCCAAATCTGTGCATCCAGCATCTTCCCAGAATCCTTCCACCCCCTGTCGTCGCATCACTCGTAGACATGCATTCCTTTTGACTTCTCCTTTATCTTTGTTTTGGCCAATTCTGCACTCTGGAAAAAAAAAATAATCCTCTGGTTTATTTGGTTTCCAAGGCTGAATGGTGATGACTTGTTGGCTCGTGTGTCCATCACTGGGAGAGCTGGCAGGTACTGACCCCCCTGCAATCTGGAGGCTGCGGGCTAACCTGAGCTCAAGCAGTGACAAGAGCTGGAGAAACGAAGGCAGGGATGTTCTCCTTTTCTGTTTGCCGTTGCTCCTGAGGGGAAGATACTAGAAAATTCCCAGCCAGGCAGCATTTCTTCCGCAAGAAGGGGTTTGCTGTCACACTCAGAACAGGTGATTCAGAATAAGAGCACCAGTGACACCAGGAGTCCTAGTGCCCTCCACTGCTTATATGCAATTGCTGTTAGAGACCTCTTCTGCCTTGCTGCAGAAATGCCTCTGAAGCCACTTCTGCATGTGCTTTGTCTTGACTGCACGGTGGCTTTTTTAATCAGGTTTATATAGAAACATACCCTGTTGCTGCCAGGCCAAATTTTTGCTCAACTTTTCCTTCACCCTTCTTCCGACAAGCCACCACTGACTTGCTATTATTTATATTTCAGTTGTTCTTAGAGGAAGTGATGGAATTTCCCATACATCAAGTGGTCTAAAACCATACAGCAAAACATAGCCCCACACTAAAGCACTTGCAGGCTGGAGAGGCACGGCGTTAGCAGGTACAAGTGGCGTGACCTGGGCCAGGCAGGATGCTGGTGGCAGCTGACACCCTCACCTCCGTATCCACCACCTAAGGCAACCATCCCGTGGCTGCCGCCCTCCTTTGCCCTCCCAGCTGCGGAAAGATCAGATTTTTCTTGCTGCCCAGAATTGCTCTGTAGTGGGAGATGAGGCTGAAACTCGATCGCTTTGCCTTTAAGATCACAAACTGAAAAAAAGCCAAATGCATTTCAGCAAATAATCCAAGGAGCACGGCTGCCAGAAACCCCTAAGTGAGAGCAAACAGTCCTTATCTCGCAAAGTTTTATGTTACTTAACACCAGTGCAAGTTTAAAGGCATTTGTTTGTTTCTGTTACACACAAGGCATCTTTTCTGGGCAGATCCTGTTATTAGGGTTAGTCCCTGAGTATTTGTACCAGCACTTGTTCATCTTCCCACTTGCTCCACTACAGCCTGATTGCTGGAAATGGCGATTGCCAGTGACTAATTTTTTTTTCACATCTGAGGCCTCAGAGTGCTCAAGGAGGAGATACATATCATTGTCTTACGCTGTTTGCATTGTGACCAAGGATAGAAATGTCACTTTGTTGTTTTCCTCCCTGCCACCAGCAGTGCAAAATGAACAAGGGCATTGGATTTCAAGTCTCGTTGGCTCAAAGGAGGACTTTGTTTGCAGAGTCTAGCTCGAAAGGGCGTTAAAAGGACTGTAATTCCAACGGGGGGGGGGGGAAAGGTGACCTTTTGGTGATCTTCTGGGGAAAGGGCGACAGTGAAAGTTTGGCTCTGCGACCATTAACTTGGCTCTCTAACTCAGTGTGGAGAAGTTAACCAAATGTCAAATGACTTGCATGCAGGGTTACCAAGAATCATTTATCAGCATAGCCATATGGTGAAAAACACGATCGCATAATAGCAACCGAGCGGGAAGTGTTTATAACTCCTCTTGGGAAAGGGACTGGAAGAGTTACCTCTTTCTGTAGCAGCAAACCCTTAGGCAGAGCCCCTCGGATGTGAACCGGGTTCACTCAGAAATGACAGAGAAGAGCCTTTCCACCCCCTGCCTTTGGCTGGCAGGTCGGAGCTACCTGGCTCCGCTGGCGTTGGTAAAGCCCAGCGCACACCTGACACCCTTCCCGGAGGCTCTGGCCCACGCCACCCACTTTTGGCGCTGCCCAAGAGAAAGAAAAATGAGCCATGTCACAGATCCTGGTCACCAAAACCTACAAAAACCACACAGGACAGTGTTTTCCTTCAAAGCCTCGCACCTGGCAAGGCAGTAGCATGGGGTGGGGAGGTGCAAATCGTCGTGGAGCTAAGCGTATGACCAAGGAGTCCACCTTGGCTTCAGCTGCAAACACAGAAGTGTCTTGGTTAGCAAACAAGCTGAGCCGAGGGCTCGGTTGCAGCTGGGCGGTGTTTTATCTTGCTTCTTCCATCAGAATTCACTTGCATGCAGAGGTTTAGATTTTTAGACCATTTAAGGTTAACTCCTTGCAATATGTTAATCGGCTGCTTTCCCGGAGGAGCAGCCGGCGGGGGGTTAGGGAGCGAGAAGAACAGAAGTTGCTCTGCCAGCGGCAGGATGAACGGTCTCTGCCACATTCGTGCCTGGTGTTGCTGCATGCCCGGGACATCCCTGCAGCGTGCTCAGCTCCTTCCCGACCTCGCCAACCCTGCACATCGTGCCCGGAGCTCAGTCCCTCTCTCTTGCCCCGGAGAGGGGCAGGAAGCATCACACGGCATGCCAGGAGCGGTGTCCGGCCGCCCCGCAGCCTGCAGGCACGCAGGAGCAGGCTCTGCGTTCTCCCTCTCTTCCCTCCCCTATTTTTTCTCATCATGGAGCGCATCCGAATTGCTTTGCTGTAAGATCCCTTCCGTGCTGCTGGGTTCAGTTGAAATTGGCCAGTGGATTCAAACTGTATCGTGGGCGGCTGATAGGCAGATAGACAACATGATTGCAAGAACTTCATTTCTGTAAGAAATCAGGCTAAAAATGACTCCTTATCCCAAGGGAGCTTGTCCAGCATGTCTCAGACTGAAGTGTGCAAGGCAAAGAGAAAACACTACGCAGACAGCAATGGTTAGGGTCCTAATTCGAGATCCACAGTCAAATTTCTCCCCTACCACAGCCTCTCTGTTTGGCCTCCAGCAAATCACATAATTTTTCTAATCCTCTGTTCCTTTTACGTAAAACAGAGCCAAAGGTTTGGGGTTTTTACCTTTTGGAGAGGGTATGATGGCTAAGTAAATTAGAAATCATCAGATGTTTGGATACTGCATCTAAGCCTACAGCTTCAGTCTAGTGCCATCAAAGCACATAATACCATTTTAAAAAAATCAGAAAAAAAAGACTTCTGCTGTCTGGGCCCGCAAACCCAGAACCACACGGGTTTGGAAACAAGGTCCCACTCGGGAGGAGGTACAGATACAGCTGCTCTGGGGTGAAGGAGGTACCAGCATGCTATTGCATCTGGTAATGTACTAGCACACGCTGAAACAACAGCCTTCTGCATCATTCTGCTCCTGGGTTAGCCTGGGGAAGAAGAGCAAAATCTTGTCTTTCCTCACACAAAGACTGAAAGGTGAAGCTAAAATCCCCCCCCCCAAAATCTTTGCAGGGTGTAACAGAGGGGCAAACCACCTCCAGGGAGGCTGCGGGAGCCTGTCTCTAGTTAGGAGTACTCAGCATGGCAAACACTGTTTGTCACAGGACAGGGGAGCTGTGGTATTGCAGCTGCCTCTCCGTGCGCAGGGATGTTATTCCGCCTCTAGATTTGTGGTCTGATGTTCCTGAACATTTGCAATCTCTGGGTGAGCCTATAAGCCTTTAGTTTTATCACATTAACATGGAAAAGTGTTGGCTGTCTTCAAACCGCTGCGGGGATAATATTTGAAGCAAAGGGATAATGTTTTGTGAGCGAAGAAGGTCCAAAATAGCGACGTTTTCTTCCCATTAGTGCCAACCACCCCTTCTGTGAAGGGTGTTCTCTGGCTGGGGGAAATGAATTGGTGGTTGCTGCCCATCCCTAATAGGATTTATACTCCCAGAGCTGAAATCACCCACACAAGCAAGGCTAATGCTGTCACTTGCCAGCCCTCGCAGAAAAAAAGCGGTCGTGGACTTGAGGCAAATTGAATCAGGGCTCCCAAATTCCCCCTGGGGATGCAGGAGCTGAGGGCTCCCTTCAAGTCCAGTTTTCTGCTGGGGACCCACGACTGTCCTGGTGAGCATCATCCTGTGGGTGAGCGACTTCATCCCGGACCCACAGAGATGGGGATGTTGTCTTGCCAGCGTGTTCCCACCAATGTGCTATTGCTGTCATCGGGATGGACCCTTTCGGCGTCCTCAAGGACTCGTGCTGGTGCGGTATTGTGTTCTGCCGCAAAATGACCTCCCTCATGTGGTGAGAACTTCACTTGCTGTATCATTGTCTTCCTCCTCCATCCTCATTCCTTTCCCTCGGTACCTCTGCTTTACTCTGGAGGCACTTCTGAATCCAGCTGATCGCTGGGCTGTCTTTAGTCATCCTTCCAGCTAAGTTTGCAGCGGGGAAAATTCCCCTTTGCTTATGCTGTCTCTTCGCCTGAGCTCTGATACGGTCTCCATCTTGGCCTTAAAACTCAAAATTAGGACGGCCCTTTCCCAAGGAAGCCCTCTCTGGTGCCGGCTAGGTAAGATGAGGAGAACAGGCAGAAGATCAGTTCGTAGGGCAGACTCTTGGGCATCCCCACTGGGTTGCCGCAAGCGCTGCTCAGGAGAACAGGTAGCGGCAGTTGAACAGAGCCGCTTCTCCCCTTCTTCCCAGCAAGCCGCCCAGCTCGCCCATCTGATAAGTGGCAGGTTGCAGGGGCGTTGGCATGGAAGCTTTGTTTTTAATGCGCTGTTTTTCCAGATTCCCATCCAATTGTGAGGAAGGGTGTACTCTGGTTCTGCTTCCTTTTGACCTCTTGTTAGCTCTTGTCTGCGAGGAGTGAGGTCCCACGCTTGCTTTTTGGCACGTTTGTACCAATGTCTCTCTGGCGGAGGGTGTGCGTGTGTGTGTTTTGATATGGCTTTGTGTTGTTTTTTTTTTC